GAGATCGCTACGTGAATGCAGCATTGAGATCAAACGTGCTCAATGCTCTTCATAGCTCTCATTCGCGTCATACATGGGCGGAACCACGTCACGTTTGTAGCACATGGCGGCCGACTGCCAGCATCGGCATGTGTACAACCTGCGAAGATATCACCGCCACAGTAAGCAGAACTTGCGAGGATGACAGCGAGGATGAAATCGGATTTACGACACCTCTTCACTATTGCAACTTATCGCTGCCAGGCCTAGACGATGCCCTTTCGTATTCCCACTCTTTGGGCTATCTAATAGGTGAAATATTCATGATCAGAGCACTGAGTGGTGGGAAATCGGACCCGACCCCTCGCAGCGTGGTATCTGTATACCTTGACCTTGACATTCAAGACACAATGAACGGGAAGGGTTGGACGGGCGACGAACCGAAATATGTCGCGTCTAGCTGCACGCTACAGCCGTGCATCAAAAGCATCAAGTCCGACTACGACCAATCTGCCGAACCACCCTATCGCGAGGAGATTCTCAAAACATGGTACCTGGATCCCAGCCTAGATGTTTGGCACCCAGCGGGTGAACTTCAAGCGCCTGTCGAGCCCGAGTACGGGGTAAATGGCGAAAACTTCACAATCGAAGCTGTGACCGCCTCGAGCATTTTCTACTTCATCGACACATTCAGCGGCGTATACGCAAAACATGGCGGTTTAGATAACACTTTCGCGAGCGATGACATGCCAGACTCGTCTCAGCCTGACGAGATCATCTTTGCGCTCTGGAATGGAAATTACACAGAGTGCGAGTACCCCGACAATCGCATCTCGTGCGGCCTCGATCTAGCTGCAAGAGCCATGTCAAAGACCATGCGAGACTCGCCATACGACGTGAACGGGACGCAAGGAGCTGTCGGACACGCTTACTCGCCAATCGTGCATATACATGTGACTTGGATATGGATCACGTTGCCGGCGTGTACGTGGGTCCTCGCTCTCGTTACTTTCCTTGCGACGGCTTGGAAATCGAGTCAGAGGACTGAGCATGTGTGGAGGAATAGCACGCTGCCGATATTGTTCATGATACTAGAGGAAGAAACGGTAGAGCAGGGCGAGAGGAATACTGATGTGAAAGCGCTGCAGCAAAGAGCGACAGCAATCAAGGGAAAGGTGCAGATCGAGGATGGACTAGTTAAGTTTGCGAGTTGAGAGGTACAGATGTCGCTTGTATACCAGGTGGAGACACCGTCTTTTGACATCCTAGACTTCACTTTCGTCTTCTACATTCATCTTTCAGACTTTACTGCCGCCTGCATCACTCGCGATATGGATGTACCGGGGTGCCCGACACCTGGCCCACTGCGTTGTGAGACAGCATGCTCTCATAGACACGGCCGGTACTTCCCCGATGCCGCGCTCACTCTCACTTTCACCGCTCACCGTCCAAGAAAGAACGTCCTGGAACGAGCTAGCGTCGTTTCGCCAAGCTCTCGACGATAACAGGAAGCCGCGACTCGAATTTTCTTCCTCATCTACATGTCCCCGCTCACTCGATATTTTCGGATATTCAGTAGTAATACGTGTAGTTAGCACTTGCCCACATTCCCATCCTTCCGCCCTTCTAGCCTCTTTAGCCTGCCTCTCACCCAGGGTCGTATAGCACGATACCGATTTTCCCTTTTTAAATCTTCATACCATCATCCTCTCCCACAATGACACCAGAGCGCACCGCTGGCAGCCTCGAGCCGCTCGACAAACCAGACGCTGGCCAATCAACGCCCGCACACCTCTTCGGCAGCAGAGGCGAGTTCGAGAGCCAGCTCCTCAAGCAAGAGCAAGAGCTCAGTCAAGAACAAGGTCGCTTGGAAGGCCTAGAACAACAGCTCAGCGACATCAAGAGCAAGCAGAGTCAAGTCGCCGTGAATGAGGAGCCTGAACGAGCTGATGAGGTGGCGGCTTTGGCTTCGCAGCTAGAGAAGCGCATCAGTCTAGCAGCCCCAAATCAGCCGCAAGACAAGGTCCTCGAGATCCAGCACGCCGTCCAAGACAAGCTAAGAGAGCTCTTCGTCGGTGATGGCAACATCAGCCAAAGGTTGCTCGATAGGACTTTGGAAGACAAGACTGCGCTGCTGGAGAAGTTCAACGGAATGGAAGGAGATCTGGAGTAAGCAGCACCGCGGTGGACATCGTCATTTGATCATTACTGATGCTACACAGAACCATGAAATCGGAACTCCGGGAAGAGAGCAAGACCAGGGCCAAACTAGAAGCCGAGGAGAAGAGGTTGAACAAGGACCTCGAGGAGTTGAACAAGGACATCGAGGATGTACGAGAAGCGCGCAGAGCTACCGTCGCCAACCAGCGCACCGAAGACCTCAGCCAGGTCACCAACGACATCAGCCAGGTCACCAACGACCTCAGCCAGCGCACCAGCGACCTCATCAAGCGTACGAAAGAGCTCAACGAGTGCACAGAAAAGCTTGATAACTGCAAGATCGAGCTGCAGTCTTATAGCAATCAGATCGAGGAGATTAAGACGCGCACAGAGGACACCGAAGAACGCATACGCAAACTCAACATCAAGCTCGACGAGGTGAGACAAGCCACATCTGATGCCAGGGCCAATGCCGAAGAGATCGACCGGCAACGCATTGTAGCTGAGAAGCAAGTTTCGTCTAAGGACGACGTCATACTCAAGATGCCGCAAGAGTTGGAGCAGGTACACAAGCAAACCGAGCTTTTGGAGATGCAGACTGCCGCGAAGGAGAAGGAACTTCAGAATTACAGGCAGCGCGATTAGGTTGGTATTGTGTCACTATATATAGACGGCGATGAGGAAATGGATGTAGTATATGGATGCAGTCCTTCACTTCCCTTGACTGGATTGTGTTCTGTCATGTTCCCTTGGGCATACATGTCAAAGTGAATCACAGGCCTCAATGCCTCCGCAAGTTTCACAGTGCGGTTGAGTAATAGTAGCAGACCTTTGCGTTTCACTGTATATCGTCGGCCCGGCTAGTTAGTAAGTATTCAAACCTTGACAAGACTCCACCCTTCTTTCCCTCCACCGAATACCACCGAGACTCAACTACACTGCATTTCGCACCATGGGCGCCTCCACCAGCTCCACCAGCGTCACGCTCGCCGATCTGCTCAGTACTCGATTTGCGCCTATCCAAGATGCTATAATGGCCTCGCTGGGCCCGTTGGAGACAATCGCTCTGATGTTGACAAGCAAGACCATCAACAAGAACATCAACGAGAAGCTCCTGAGTGGAACATTCAACATCGACGCTACACTAAAGCCGTTCTTCCGGGACACAAAAGCCTTCCGCTCACGACAAGCTCGTTGCAACACTCTGATTGGCGGCCATTTCGCCTACTGCTTCTTCGCCGGGTTTCCTCGCTTCGACTGTATCTATCTATATGTCGGTCAAGAGGTCGATGCTATGACCCGATATCTAGAATTTGAAGGTTACGTGCGAGATGAAACCAACGCAGAAGCCCCCATTCGATACCGCGACGGAGAGGTATTGTCAGAAGATGTATATGAGAAAGATGGACCTGAGGGGCGCAAGATGAAAGTCGTGATTACCGAATGCCAGACGCAGTCTCTAACACACATGGTCCTGCACGACGCGTATACGACAGGAATGCTAACATTCATCGCCTGGAACAAGGCATACCATCTATTACCTTACACCACGTTCGTCAAGAGGGAGATGTTCCTGCTGCGTAATATCAAGGAGATAGATCCATATGACCTGAGACTCTCCAGCCTACGTGGCATGAAACTTAAGAGCGTACACTGGAACGCGCACGATGAGATTCGCCCGACGGATTGCCAATTGCTCACTCGGCTTCGACGCGTAGGAGATCAGCATACCTGGGTAATGCCTTTGAACACAGAGGGTATTACGCCATCTCCTGTTCCAGACACCGTTCTTGAGGCATCCACGTTTTGTCTTGACCTGCCAGATTGGGACGACCATAAGACTCTCTTCTACGAGATGAACGTCTGCACTGAGCTTCGCCATCCAGTACTGCGACATACGTACTCGACTACGAGGTTTGACGCCGGAATTATAACACCGTACTACGAGAAGTTATCAAAGCTTTACGACCGACTAAGCGAGGCGACTGCGATTGAGTTGACGAAGATGGATGAGGATGAGCGGCCTAAAGAATACGATCAATTGGTGAACGGCTCAGGCATAGCTTGCGACATGGAAAAATTCGTTCGACCAGACGATTGGTGCTATTTCGATGAAGATGTTGGAGCGTTCCTGATGGCTGCGTGGAAAGGGCAAGTACGGTTGGAGGAAGAAGAAGAAGAAGATGAAGCGCGAGAGCTAGACCATAGATCGGCGAAGCGAGCAAGGTACACTTGAAATGCGGCTTGGAGAGCACGGGTATGCACGATAGTTAGGTCGGAATGTGGAGATGAGTTGATGTTCACGGTTATACCTAGGTAGCAACATACCACTTTCCATGAGATTCGATGTTCGGCATTTGATGGTGCAATCGCGGTCGTGATGATGTCATAGTTCGCGTATCTTGACGATCCACCAAAAAGCTCGGGTCTAACCTCAACACGAAGATCTCAGCCTTTCAATAGCGTATGGCTTGCGCGACCTCAACAATAAGCTTTGACAAGCGAGCGCGATTGCTCAACTCTGCGAACTTATGGAGTGAACATGCGTGCGGAGTGCATACAGCACTTAGAGGAGTTGCCGACCAGCAGTCACCGGAGCAAACACCGCGGCAATATACACGACACTCCTCTCGAGTCAAGCAACCGAGCCAAGCATACAGCCAAGATCTGCATTTCACCGACCATATTTCCGTCGACTATGGACGAGCATCGCATCGGCAACTTGGCGGGTGAGTGACGTTGCAAAAAAACATGGGACCGTGAGGTGTCCGGCGCGACGATCAGTGGAGAGGTATATAGGAGATGGAAGGCCAGGCGGCGGTGATTTGCAGGTATTCATCTTCGATATCATCACCAACATCATGTCGAGCATCATCCCAGTGGACCTTCTATCGTATGCGACGGATCCGTCGTACCTGAGCAGTATCGTCACTACCAATGCTTCAAATCCAGATATCATCAACCTCCTCGCATACGATGAAAGCTTTGCATCTGTGATCGGCGAGAACGCAACAGGGCGACTACTGGAAAGTCTGGATTGGGACGCTTTCCATGAGGCTGGTGTCTACAACAAAGACACGAACAAGCTATACGTGACGAGCAGCTGGGCCGGAGATCTCAACAACCCCATCAACGTTACCGTCATCGATCTCGCAGACAACTATTCCATCAACTCAACGCGGATACCAGGTGTCGCCGAGGCCAACGGCGCAACATCGTACTACCCACCCGGCACCCAAACTAACGGCTCAACACCTTCACGAGTACTGTACTGCGACCAGGGTGATTTCGTCAACCCAGCAGGTCTCGTCTCCGTCGACCCCGTGACTGGTGAATCCGAACTCATCCTATCAAACTTCCTTGGACGAAACTTCACATCCCCCAACGACGTCCGTCAACACCCCGTAACAGGCGATCTCTGGTTCACTGACCCAGACTACGCATATGTCCAAGGATTCCGTCCTGAGCCCAGTCTGCCGAAGCAGGTATACCGGTTCAGTCCATCCACAGGCCAAATTGCCGTTGTAGCAGACGACTTCGTTGAACCCAATGGCCTCGAATTCAGCCCTGACTACAAAACACTATACGTATCCGACACAGGTGCCGCGGGTTACAGTATAAACGTCACACGACCAGCCACACTCTACGCATTCGACATCACGCACGACGCAAAGAGACTAACCGGCCGTCGCACATTTGCCTACTCCGACAACGGCATTCCCGACGGTCTGCACACCGATACCGAGGGTAATGTTTGGGCTGGATGTGGAGACGGCATTCACATTTGGAACCCTGAAGGCACGCTGATTGGAAAGATTTGGGTTGGTATTACGACGGCGAACTTTGCTTTCTTGCCGGGCGCTGTCATGGTGTTTAGCAATAAGCAGCTGTGGATTGTGGAGAATATCAAGGCGATGGGCAGGGAGGTTGCTAAGGACTTTGGATTGTCGACTCATTACTGAGATGGGGGGCCCTTATGCGGCAAACTACACGCTTGACTGCGATGATTGCAGGTATAACGACCAAACAAAGGAGACAAAGGGACATGGTGTTTGTGCCAATTGGCTAAACAGCAAGCACACTACACGACGCGGCATATATACCTTTTGCACAAGCTTCATTACGCTGTTTAAGAAGCTACAATCCAGCCTTTTTACTTCTAGTATATATACATTCAACAAGTTCTGAACGAAAAGCTCCTCTTTCACTCTACGATATATACACAACGCATACACCTATACGAGGCAGGTGACGTTTACAACCACGCAGTCATTCAGTGTTTCACAAAGATGGGAGGCATGTGTGAAAGGCCTGACTCCGGTTGCGGTGAACTGCCATTGCGCTCACAACCTCTCTCTTTTGCAGTATTTGAAGGCTCGTAACCTACGTTATCCGAATGAGGCGGGCCATGGTAGACGTCAGCCGAACAACAGAGACCTCCAAACATTTCATCGAGCGCTGGAAGCAGCCACTTCAAAACGGCCAACGACCTCTGCCTCACTCCCTCGTTAGCATGGAGGCTACATGTTGGGAACTTCTCGATCTCGCAGAACGCCTGCATACGCAAGGACCGATCTGCCTATCGATATACGACCCCTCTGCGTTGAAGGCGGCGGGAAAGTACAGGCACTTGACGTTTTCGCAGCGCATCGATGCGTTGATTGAAGACTTGCTGTATTCGAAGAAGACTGTCGACGGCCTGATGAGGACTGAGGGACACGCCATGTTCGTCGCATGTTGCAGGCACAAACCAGCGAATAGGAGACAAGATAAGAAGATTGGCATGAGGGAGGCACGTCCGCCGACACTCGATGAAGGGGTTAGCAATCTTCAGATTTAACTCGAAGAGCTCCTCTCTAACCCTTCATCCCTACCGATTTCTGGAAAAAGACGTTTAGAAATTGTGGAGGGCGGGGTTTCATGTTGTTGTACTCGCGTAGTCGTGCTTGCCTAGATGGGCGATTCTTGCGTCTGTAGGCACGATAGACCTCAACGAGGAAGGAGGCTATTTCATAAGGTAGCTACATAGCTGCTTCTAATGGGATCACTATTTGCATACACTTAAAGATCATCGTGAGCATTATAAACACCACGTTTAACGTCGCCTCGTGGTGTCAGACCTGCCGAGGCTTCAGACTCTGGATGCAAAAAGCAGGGACTCGCTTATCGTGCACTAGCGCCATCACCCCTGCCCGGCCAAAGATCGGTCTGGCCAGGCACGACCGACACAAAATCTCTCGCCTTCTGTCAATCAACAGTCACGATAACGTATCCACCCGCATACCCAATTACCCACAATGGCTTTCCTCCGATCTTTCAATTCTGGCATGAGTATACGTGATATACGCAACTGACCCACAGCCCGCGCGACCGTTAGCCATCCACCCTCGAATAGACAAAGAGGGGTGTAGTCTCTTCACCGTATACGCTGTGGACTCGGCGATAGCATTGCTTTTTGACTTCTGAAAGGAGCGTCAATTCATCCAACGATTCACTCACCTGCCGCTTACCGTGCTGCTAATCCCATCGACACTGCTACAATGGACGCCACCGAAAGCGACTCGTCTATCCCTGTAGCCAGTGACTCGGTCTTCAGCATCTCACGCCCTTCTTCAGCCTCCTCGATACATCCGAACGATACGCCGAACGATAAAGCGAGCGATCTGCCAGCGGGCGCACCGATATCTTCCCTCTTCCAAGTCCGCCATACACCGACCGCCGGCCGCGCTGTCTTCGCTACGCAGGATATACCAGAGGGCACAATAGTGTGGCGCTCGGAAGACCTCTCCCTCTCCGTTCTGTTGCGCGAATACCGGCGTGAGGTGTGTGGGCAATGCTTCGGATACGATTACGGGCGGGATCTGGACATACGGGATAAGACGGTGGGATTTGCTTTCTGCTCGGAAGCATGCCAGGGGAAGTGGCGGGAGGAGAACGGCGAGGTCGGAGTTCAGGCATGGACTGCGGTCGAGACGTTCGTCAAGAAGCGGAGCAAGGAGGATAGCGATATGGTGGACACCGACTTACCGCGCCCAAAGGTTAAGGAAATTCAGCAGGCGTGGGAGAACGTCGCTGCACAGGCGGCGCTGATACGAACTGCACGGGAAAGCGAGCAGACCGCCGGAGTTTCTGTCACGAAGCAGCACAAAAAGGCCGTGCAAAAGGCACTACAGCAGAACATCACGCCCGACGTGATGAGCTTCTGCGTCAGCGGCCTGGTCTGGCGGTATCTCCACCCCGACCAATGGGAACGAGTGGAGGCCCTCGCAGATGACAAGACCCCCTACCACAGCTCCGACGACCTCGGCGCCTTTACAAGAACCTACCTGCACCTCCTCGCCATTCTTCCACTTCAACTACTCCCTCTCGTAACGGCAGAATCCCTCATCACGCTCTCATCCCGCGACTCGCACAATTCCTTCGGCATTCGGTCTCTCGAAGATGACGGATCGGAGTTCTTTGGATACGGTTGCTGGCCTGCTGCGAGCTACTTCAACCACTCGTGCGGTCCGAATATCGAGAAGAGGAGGGCGGGCAGGACGTGGTTCTTTACCGCTGGGAAGGATATCAAGGCCGGGCAGGAGTTGTGCATCACGTATCTGAGTGGAGAGGAGAGGAAACTGAGTCGTGGGAAGAGGATGTTGAGGCTGAAGAAGACATGGGGATTTGATTGTGGGTGTGAGAGGTGTGAGGCGCTGTAGTTGGGAGACAGGTTGTGTAAAGCAGGTCAAATTGAAGTTTAGGTACGGTGTCAGAGCTATGCAAACACGTGTTCTATATGCCTGACATCTTACATACCCTGTTATAGCGTATGATTTATTCGTGGTATGTGGAGAGATTGGATCCGTCAGCTACGTGTGGACTCGATTGCGTTTCAGGCGCTGCCAAGTGCGGGATGTTGCTGTCTCCGTGCCGGCTGTACCCTGATCTTCTCACGGCTACCGGCTCACTAGTGACATTGAGCGCATACGGTAAACTTTCTTCCACGTTCGCACTCGTTGCATTCCTCATCCAACGTTGACTGACATGACGCTGTTTTCTTGGTGTAGCGAGGCGGGCACGTGGTTGCCATCCGCGCTTGGCCACGTTCATTAGTCATGCCACGAGGGTCCAGATGATTGCCACGAGGATATCGTGGGAAAGGGTCTATTAGTTATCAGATCCAAATATGACAAACCTGACCCCAAGAACTCTGCCTGCCCCGTCCCATGTCAGTCCCCGTCAGTCCCCATGTCAGCTCCGCCCAAAACCCTGCGAACGCGCAATGATAGATGGGCGGACCGAATCCCATGCGTCAAGGCCTTGGATTTGGGCCGACATGGCCGGCGCGACCGAGACTAGAGCTACCTACATTATTGAAAAGGTCTCGTGGCCTGCCCAACGCGATCTACATGAATTCTTCTGGACGCCGTAAGCGGCACATGTGTTTCAGCCCAGACGTCGAGAGAGGGCGAAATTGACGTCTTCAATGAAGTTCCCCACTAGACGGTGACGTAACGGATCCGCCGCGCTAGCTGGACCCTGCAGGCTGCTAGGCCGTTGGAAACGCGAAGAGCGAGAAATTAGAACTGCGGGCGCGCTGGGAGGACGCATGCGCCATGAGATTGCGATATGTGTACCCTGACGGATGCCCTGGTCTTATATGCGGTCATTGGGCTGCGTTCAGGCCGTCTCGGGACCCTCTTCCAAGGTCGGAGTGAGGTTTGCATGCAGCGTGGCGTCGGCGGCAGCGTCCCTAGCGAGCCTCTCAGCCTCTAGATGGAGCCAGGCTCGACTGTGCGAGTCTACTGGGAGCTGGGAGGAGGCTGCCGGAGATTCCGCGGGCGTCTGCGTCTGCCACTATTGCTGAAGAGTATTCGCGCGGAGTAGCGCAGTGGCCTCGTCCAAGCAAAAGACAAATAATCTAGAGACGATACATAGAGTTCGTTTCCTCTTCTTCTTGACACCGCCGTTGCTCGCCTCTCCTGCCCATCACGACCCATCGCGATCTAACAATCCTTCCAATTCCAAACGCCCTCAAACCCAACCCTTGCTCGTGCTAGCGGAAGCCACGAGATCTCCCAGCCGGGACGCGGAACAGAAACGAGCGTCATACCTCCACCGCAGAGCGAGTCAATAAGCAGAAACGAAGGCGATCATCGAGATCGAATCGCTACATGCAGTCCAAAACCACGTCTCCCCGCGGCGGACGCAAGAAGATGGGCCTCCCAGTCATCGAGGTGAGATGCTTTTCTACACATTTCGATGCCTTTCTCTTCTGCATGCACCACGGCTAGAGAGCTTCGAGGCGCCACGGGCAGCAGCACGCATCATATCGTGTGCGTGTGGTGCAGCTTGTTTGGCGATGATGTAGCCTGCAGCGTCATGAAGCCCGTGCGCCAATGACGCAACGTCGCTCCTCTCTTGTTCCGGCTTCACTCCTTCCTTCGTCCATGCATGACCTTCTTTCCAACCAGCGCTTCTCCCTGACTTCCCCTCACCACACGAGTATTCCCGCCGTGCTACCGCCCGTCTGCCCTCTGCCCCAACAAACGGCTGCACCCGCTTGTTTTTTGCATTCTCCATCGCAGCCTCGACGACCCCGCTATCGACGGGCTTTGTAATACATCTCAGCGTCCAGACACTAAACATGGCCGCGATACAGAATTTTAAGAACTTCCTGCGCCATGGCAAGCAGGCCCGCCAGAACGCGGAGCCCACGACCAATGTCTCCAATGTCCACGCCCAGTCGCAACATCAACGGTACAACCAGCACCCGGACCCCGTACATCATGGCATCTCGGAGCCGGTGATGGACCACAAGCCGCTCCAGAATCACGCTGCCCCCCATGGCGACTACTCCGTCGGCGCTGGCGCTGGCGACAACCGCAACATTGCCGCCCAGGCAGGCGACGCCGCTGCGCACGCCGCCGGCAAGGAGCACAAGAAGCAGGCCGCTGCCAAGGGCGCCGGCGTCGACCCCCAAGTACTTGAGCGCATCGTTGCAGAGGAGCGCGAGGCCAAGGGCAAGCTGCCGAGGTATCCCGGCCTCGAGCGATGGACGCTCCTCGAGAAGATGGGCGACGGCGCCTTCAGCAACGTCTACCGCGCACGAGACACGACCGGCCAATGGGACGAGGTCGCCATCAAGGTCGTCCGCAAGTTCGAGATGAACTCACAGCAGGTTAGTATCACCCCTCCTGCCCTCTTCCTCCTTGCCCATTTCCTAGTCACCCCTATCCTACACGTTGAACAGTTGGGTGTTTTTGGACGTTACCAACGCGAGGCCGGTGTAGGACAAGCATGTGCATCCGGACTTCAAGACGCCCAAAGCAGCCGAGGTGCGATAATATAACCCCCGATGCTCGACTCAGCATCCCCCTTCACGACGGGCTTAAAGGGCAGACACTAACTGCCCTATAGAGAGCGAACATCCTCAAGGAAGTACAGATTATGCGCCAGCTCGACCACCCCAACATCGTCAAGCTCATCGACTTCTCCGAGTCGCGGCAGTACTACTACATCGTGCTTGAGCTGTGCCCCGGAGGCGAGCTGTTCCACCAGATCGTCCGTCTGACGTACTTCTCCGAGGACCTGTCCCGCCACACCATCATCCAGGTGGCCAAGGCACTGCAATATCTGCACGAGGAGGCAGGTGTTGTCCACCGGTACGTTCTTATCGATGCCAGTCACGATGCCAAGCATAATTACTGACGTCACTCACAGAGACATCAAGCCTGAGAACCTTCTCTTCTACCCCACACCATTCATCCCCACCCGCAACCCAAAGCCGCGGGGACCGGACGATGAAGACAAGGCCGACGAGGGCGAGTTCGTCAAGGGCAAGGGCGCCGGTGGTATCGGCCTCATCAAGATTGCCGACTTCGGTCTCAGCAAGGTCATCTGGGATACGCAGACCATGACACCGTGTGGTACTGTCGGTTACACCGCCCCTGAGATTGTCAAGGATGAGCGCTACTCCAAGTCTGTCGACATGTGGGCGCTTGGTTGTGTGCTCTACACGCTGCTCTGCGGTTTCCCTCCGTTCTACGACGAGTCCATCCAGACCCTCACAGAGAAGGTCGCCCGCGGCCAGTACACATTCCTGTCACCATGGTGGGACGACATCTCCAAGTCTGCACAGGATCTCGTCTCCCACCTGCTGACAGTCGACCCCGAGAAGCGCTACGACATCAACCAGTTCCTCAACCACCCATGGATACGTGAAGCCGACGAGCCTACCTACTCCGCTTACGACGCACCACCGCTCGCCACACCCGCCGCCAAGAAGGAGCGTCTCCAGCCAGACTTCTCCCACCTTGAGTCACCGGGTGCCCGCCGCATGGACTTCCGTTCGCCTGGAGCCGTCAACCTGCGAGAAGTGTTCGACGTCAGTTACGCTGTACACCGACAAGAAGAGGAGGGCAAGCGGAAGAAGCAGTTCAAGCAGGGTTACCGCGGCGCCAACGCCATGAACTCGCTCAATGCGCTTGACGAAGGTGAGGATGATGACGAGTACGCCGCCGAGTCTGCACCATACGACCCAGCGTCGCAACATCCGCCCGCGAAGCTTCCCAAGTCTCAGGGTGCCGATGTATCCGGCATGGAGCAGAAGATGCGCAACACCACACTATCCGCTGCCGCCCAAGCCCGTCAGCAACAACAAGCACAACCGCGCCAGCAAGAACGCGGCTACGGCCAACACTCCCCAGCTGTTGCGGCCGCGGCTAAGCGCCAAGTCAGGAACAAGGGCGCGTTTGAGCTCAACATGGACAGCTCGACATTACTCGGCCGCCGCAACAAGAAGGGCCCCGAGCCTAGCGGTCTGAGGAACAACATCTCCGTCCAATGACAATCCTCGCTTGCGAAGGATTGGTGAGACGGTGATGAGAACTGTGTCATGATGGCGTTTTTGCGTTTCCTTAATCACTCTTTTCCTGCTCTCCCCCGGTTCTCTCCACGATTTTTGGTTATATCATGTATGCGAGCTTTGTCTGTGTTTCTCCTCTCATGGCATGGCTTTACGGTCTCTTGTGTCTGTCCCCCGGTATGAAGGGGGTGTTTGACATGGGACAGGAGAAGAGAGGGGGTTAGGCTTAGTTTATGAAGCTTTTGGCATGGCGATGGATGGATGATAGTAACGTGCGATGTGGCATGGTTGTCCATGTAGCATGAATGATAATGTTTGAAAACGATGACCATTCCCATGATTGAACAATAGAGGTTGCGTGATTGGAGTCTTCGTGTACCATCACCCAGCGTGTGCGCTGCTTCGCAATGCAATTTAACGTAACGGTAGTAAGAGCGGTGTTAGTCGTGACTTCCATGACTGGGCGACACTCCCTTTTCGCTGCTCGATCGTCTTGAAAAAGAAGGAACATTTAACCAGGTTAACCACCACTCAAATGTACATTAACGATCTTGAACTCTGAGCGTAAAGACTGTTGTTAGCGATTGGCGTAGCATGTTACCTCCGTATAGTGAAATACAAGCCATAAGATTAAAGTAGTGTTAGACGATAGCTTATGATGACAATTAAATGGAATTATCAGAAAGAGCCAGTTTAGACTACTACACAGAACAATGAACGCGAAAACATATCCAATCAACTCTTCGACTCCTGCTCGAGCTTGGCTATCCATAGCGCCGCTTGTTCCTGTAAGCTCAATTCGGGAGGCATATCCATATCACGATAGTATGCTTGCGCTTGTTCGCTCAAACTCGCCCCAGACGCCGCCGCATCCCTCCACCGAGCAACTCCAGCATCGTGCGCCGCCTTCTCGTCGTCTTCAACCTTCTTGCGCTCGTTCTCGCGGTCGGTCTCAGCTTGCTTGTATTCTGCAAGCTTTTCCTCCGCCGCTTCCAGCTTTGCCGCGAGGTCTTCGTTCTTCTTGTTCGCTTGCGCGAGCTCTTTCTGAGAGCGGATGAGGTTAGTTTTGAGGTAGCGCTCGCGCGCTTCGGCGTTCTCGGCGCGGGTTTGCATTGCAGAGGGTGAGGCTGTCATTGTTGAGGATGAGGATGATGATGGCGATGACGATGATGGTATGTAGTCTTGAATGATGGGAGTGTTGGAGAAATAGAGACGTGGTAGCTGTTTCAAAGATTTGGAGAGTGAAGTCTTGTTAGGCTCAAGCACTTTACTCAAGACGCTAGAGAATCGAGAGCTCACTCTCACCTTCATCGCCAGTGTTGACGAGGAGACGCAGATAAGGGTACCCGCCCAACCCGTGGACGCACCTGCCACACTGACTACGGTCATGAAGAATTCGACTGAAAGAGGAAAGTGCGATCGTAGCAGCACTACAACAACAGCGAATTGCTTGTGACACGACACTGCGTTTTTAGCTACGTGATCGAATATTAATTGAACGTAAAAGCTGACGGCGTTATTGATTATCACGCATGTGATGTCTTGTTTAGGAATCAATACCAAAAGCCTATATAACATCATGGGCGCCCCTAACCTCCTGATTCTCTCGCTCTATATCCACTTATAAGCATATTCTTACATCACCAACCATCTAACAACTATGATTTCCCTCATCGACCTGCTCAGTCCTCGGTATGCGCCCATCCAACGCGTTCTCCTCGATCATCTCAATCCGGGTGCCATTGCAAGGCTCACCTGCACCTGCAAGGCTTTTGGTTGTTTGTGGCCGACGCTCATGGCTTCTGATTACAACATCAACCACAAACTTCGGTATTTCTTCAAAGACCCTCGGAAATTTCGGTCCGTTCAGGGAGAATGCGGCGCTCTTCTGGAGGACTGCCACCAGATGTTCAACGCTGGTGGCATCTTAAGCTTTATTGCTCGCTCGAAAGTCGAGTGTACGCAACTGATTGTAGCGGTTGAAGCTACCCGTATGGCACCGCTAGTTGATTACTTGGCTTCTGACGGCTTTGTACATTATGATCCATTTCCACAGGAGCCGCACCTGAGTGAGGGCCTTTACTGCACAAAGAAGCTAGGTGTCGACGGGGAATTGAGGCTCGTGGAGCTTCGCTACTGGGACACTAACCAATTAGAGGTGCACATGTACTGCCGTCGAGAGTCCCATAGATTGCGCTTCCTGACATGGAACAAGGCATATACGATGTTCCCTTACGAGGCCTTCGTCAAAGAGACATGTCATCTGACTGGCTCAGACGACGACGAACTTCGGCATTATATATCGAAGGCACAGGACCTACAAGAAGACGTGAACAGTTACTGGACTGACGGGGTACTGGATGTGGAAATGGATGGGCCAAGCAACATATTGCGCAGAATAGGAGATTCGCAGACCTGGATACTCGATCTCGACACTGCCGGTGTCGCAATACCTGAGACGCCTGACACCATACTTGAGTCTTCCAGTTTCGAGCTTCGACGTTCCTCTTCACCGTTTGTATACAGTGCTTTCACCGATCCGCTGGCCAGCAAGGATGAATATCCGAGATATGATCAGCTATATGAGGACCTCAGCCATGCAGTCCTCAAGTATCGGTACCTGATACCACCAGGTACTGGCCCTTCGGTAATGAACAAGAAATGCGATGCTATTCTCAAGAAGTTGGATCGCTTGACACGGGTCGAGCTGGAGAAGATACCAGGAGCAGAACGTCCGTCGGCATATTACGAATTCGAGAGGAGAATTGAAAGCTAAGCACGTGCGAGATACTTTCACGCTTCAGGGGTTCACACTCCCAGCCACATGGACATTCTACGACGAAGAGATTCTGGCGGATTTGAATGATGCATGGGAGAGTCGCGACGAGGTTTGGGTCCAGGATGAAGGTCAGAAGACAGCAGAATGCGAACATGAAGCGGAGGGAGTGGTCGCGAGCGACGAGAACAACGTCGGTGGTTAGGCGATGCGGCTATAGCTATGAGTTAGCATATCGAGATTCTGGATCTATTATTGCGCGCGATGCTTTGAAGTATCCGCGGTGTTCACAATTCGTTTGCGTAGTTCCTTCCAGTAAATGCAGTGACCATGTCAGCCTCGCCGTAGTGAAACTCTAAAGCCAGCGTACCTAGGTATCGTGTAGTCGTCTCGCAACTTCAACCGGTAGACCGCGGGGATCCGGTTTCGCGACGACACACGGCTGCTATACGTATGTTGGATGCAAACAGTTTCAGCGAATAGGTGAGACTTGGTAAATGAACAGTTCTTTCCTGATACGAGCTTGACGTCTTACTGGTCTGTGCGAATCGATAATAATAGCCCGTCGAAACGGCGGACACGCGTCGGAGAAAGAACTATGATGTAGTTGGTTTTTTGCAACACGTCCGTTTGAGACATCGTCACTATATAACCTCCGTCACGGCGCGTCGCTATTGTGCAGTCAACCGTCGCCGCCACCATGGACCCTCTTCTCGCCGCCGCCGAAGCCGCCGCCGCCGCAGACACCACGTCAACCCCGCCGAGCTCCCCGCCCTCCGCCGAGACGCCCCCAGAGAGCCGCCTCTGGGGTATCAGCGACATCCACCTCTCCTTCAAGGGCAACCGCGACGCTCTCGAGAAGCTCCTGCCGCACCCGCACGATGACCTCATACTGTGTGGAGATGTAGGCGAGTCGGCGGAGCACTGTCGGCTCGCCTTCACCAAGGTCAAGGAATGCTTCCGGCAAGTGTTCTGGGTGCCAGGCAATCACGAGCTGTATACGCTGCCCTCAGAGAAAGAGCACGGCGCGAGGGGCGAGGCGAAATACATGGAGTGCGTTGCGATTGCGCGGGAGTATGGCATAATCACGCCAGAGGATCCATACACGATGTGGGAGGGCGAGGGAGGTCCATGTCTCATTGCGCCCATCTTCACGCTGTACGACTACAGCTTCCGGCCTAGCCATGTGAAGCTAGAGGATGCGCTCGAGTGGGCGCGAGAGAAGGACATAGAAGCGACCGACGAGCACCTCCTGCATCCCGACCCGTACTCGTCGCGCATCGAATGGTGCAATGCGCTTCTCGAGAAGACGGAGAAGAAGCTCGCCGCTGCTGTCGCATCACACCCAGATATCCCCTTGATCATAGTAGGCCACTGGCCGTTGCGCGAAGACCTAGTCAAGCTGTTCCGAGTCCCGCGCTTTTCACTCTGGTGCGGCACAAAGAAGACCGAAGACTGGCACAACAAGTACAACGCAAAGGTCGTCGTCTCTGGCCATCTCCACATCAGGCGAACAGACTGGATAGACAGCACGCGCTTTGAAGAGGTCAGCCTGGGCTACCCACGGCAATGGCATGATTGTCAAGAGCGCGGCCTCGACATCAACGACCTGCTGCGCGAGCTAATGCCAGGCCCGGAGACACCACCAAAAGACCGGCGCAACACTGTCTGGAGGCAGTTCGGATGATTGACTGCATTGCGAGATACAATCTAATCTTCGATACCCGAGATCATGCCTTTTCTCCCCCGTGACTGCAGGTACGTCCAATCACTCCACACCAATTCCTCACGTTCGGCAGCCCACGAGCATGAATCCACGAATCTAATGCATTTCTCGTTTTGTTTCTCCAGACTGCAACATGTCACATTCACCTCCCCTGCACCTGCCTGATGCGGACTCGGCCTAGTCTCGGCCAAGCACCAATGGCTCGGACGCGATCAGCCACGCGCTTTCTCCTTATTCGCCGGCATGCAACCGTCGTGGTTCCCAATCTAGTCGATCGACATCCTGCGTTGCCTTTCACGCATGTTTGCTCCGGGCGTAGAATATGCAACGTCTGAATCGTCCCGTGCCGGACGCCGATGCGCTGCAGGTACCCCAGCGACAACGTCGGAAACGTTGTTATGCGTCCAAGGGAGCTGGATAAACGGCCAATTGGTGGTGGTATATCAGGGCATGTGCGCTGTTTGTGTGCTCTCCACGGTTCTGCTCGTATCGCGCTTTTGCTAGTTTGTATCGTGAACTTCCCCATTGGGATTGAGAGAGACTTGAGGACTCAGTGAGCACGATATCGGGAAGAGCCGTACGACTTGAACAACGCCGAAGACTTCGTATAAAACCACCGCAGCCACCATCTTTTGAAGATCAAGCCAGTCCCCCAGCTCAAAGACATTGTCACTCGCTTGACGCCTTTTGTCATTCATTCCCACCATCATTCGCTCAGCAATAGTCAAGATGTTCAACATCGCCATCCAGCTCCTTGCCGCCGCGAGCGTTGTCCTCGCCTCCCCCGTCAACCTCCAAAGTCGTGCTGTCATCGCCCACGATGCTGTTGTTGGCTTCCCCCAGACTGTGCCGTCTGGCATCGTAGGACAGCTCATGCTGAAATACAAGCCCTACCTCAAAGTCGAAAATGGCTGTGTTCCCTTCCCCGCCGTCAACGCCGCAGGTGACACAGGGTAAGTCACCCCTAATCCAGAGAGTGAATCCTTTTAACACCCTCCAGCGGCGGCCTCCAACCCACCGGCGCCTCAAACAGCGGGTGCAGTTCCTCCCCCGGCCAAGTCTACGCCCGCGCCACCGCCCACAACGGCGCCTACGCCATTATGTACTCTTGGTACATGCCCAAAGACAGCCCTGGCCCCGGTCTCGGCCACCGCCACGACTGGGAAAACATCGTCGTCTGGCTGTCTGCCCAGTCCACCACCGCTACCATCCGCGGCGTCGCCATCTCTGCTCACGGCGACTACGACAAAGTTACCAACCCCAGTCTTACGGGTACCAGGCCAAGGATTGGATATAGGTCCATCTTCCCGGTCAACCACCAGTTGATTGAGACGACTACGCAAGGTGGAGAGCAGCCGTTGATTGCGTGGGACAGCATGACGGCGGCGGCGAGGAGTGCGATTGAGAACACGGATTTTGGTAGTGCGACGCCGTCTTTCCGTGACAGCAACTTTGGAAACTACCTCGACGAGGCTTTCATTTGAGGGGTGGTGTAAATAGCAGTACATAACATAACGTCTAATCATGATATTTGCTCAGTTGACACCACCACATGCCTTGTTCACCAATCTAGTGCTTGATTATAAAACTATCATTTATCTCATCAACCGTCTGCCACTAGCCCCAAACTCATACAAGAAAAAAGCTGAACAGGTCTAGAGCCTACAACGACGTTAGGTCACCTATCTAGTAGACTTACATGTTGATGTAGGCTGCAGGCCTGTTCGGATTTTTCTCGATTGACATGCCCCCTTCAACGTTGCAGCCTCCGTATCGGTTCACCTTCCAGAAACCCAGCGAGCTTATCTTCGACCAAGTCAAAACAATTGCCGAAATCCAGATGCTATCATAAACTATTTTCATTCGTATAATCAGTCTCTATCGACCGCTACTAGAACTAAAGTCACGCCGAGCCCCACAGCATAGAATATGGAGGGTATACGGGCCGAACACAAGCCCCATCCGTATCAGCAAGCCACACGCATGAACCACCACCTCACGGCTCAAGCCGAGTACCCAGGAGGAGGACCCGCCGGCGCCGTATATTCCGGCGGCGGAGCCTCACCAGCAGGCGGCGCAAAGCCTCCCGTACCCACATTCTGCTGCTGTCCACCCAGCACCCTCCTAAACGCCTCTTCACGCGCTTGCTGCAGTTGCAACCGCGCATGCTGCAACTTCGCCTTTGCCTGATCGACCTCGCCCTGCAGCCCCTTCTCCTGCGCCTCACGCTGTCGAATAATTTCCCCGCACTTATTCCCTGCGCGGTCGACCTGCGCAATGGACTGCTTGACCTGATCGTGCATTTGCATATCGGAGAAGATATTATCAAACACGACATCGCTCCATATACTACCCATCGCGATGTTGAGTTGACCCAGCCCCGGTATCTCAGGCGCAACCTGCTTGACCTGCTGCTGCAGCATACGCACTTGTTGGATGGAACTCTCGGCGCGCTCGAGGTAGTTCCGCTTCTGCATGCTGGCCATTGTGCCGCCGCCGAACATGTCGTATTGAGACATTCCGTATGCGCCGTCGAGGTGTTCGCGGGCGGCGGATAGCTTGACGGAAGTCTGCCCGAGGAGGAAGAGGATATGGCGCTCGCGCTCGAGGCGCTGGGTTAGGTCTTGGACGTGGGCGTGTGCGGCGTTGCAGGCATCTTCTTTGCGGTCTTCGTCGGGGAACTCGGGCGTGTGGCCTGCGAAGATGGAGTTGTAGAGCGCGTCGAGGTCGGCTTGGAGCGTGGTGTGGCGTTGGGCTTGCGACGCGATTTCGTTCTTGCGCGTCTCGGCTTCGGCGCGGAGTTGTTTGGCGTAGGCGAGTTCGTCTTCTGCGCTCTTTTGCTCTTGGATCGCGTCGAAGTACTCTTTTTCTTCTTTGGCGGCTTTTTCGGCAAATTTCTCCTTCTTTCCGCTGGCCTTGTGGGCGAAGCGGCGGAAGTGCGAGTCGCGGTACTTTTCGTGGTCTTTCAGCTCGCTGGCTGTTTTCTGCTTCAGGTCGTTGACGCGCTTTCGGATGTTGTTAATTTGCGCGTCGAGGTCAGCAATGTAGGCGTTTTGCTGCTTGAGCTGTGAGGGCGCCGAATCTGTGTCCTCGAGGCCACGAAGGAGTTCCTCGTTCCTCTGGGCTGCCTCCTGGATCTTGTTGTGGATTGACATGGTGAAAAGTTACTACAATGGTAGTTTGTGAGTTGTGTTGCGATGCGATCGGAGGTAGCCTGATGCTATATATCTAGGAAGCAGCGAAGCACAGCCTACCTAATCGACTTGTTACGGCAAGAGATCATGGTGGTACTGCTTGGCAGTCGGCCTGACGGCACGAATACATGGCCTTGTCTTAGGCTATTGGGCGCCTGATTATGAACCAAACTGCTGTCTTTAACGTGGCTGGTGTTGTTGAAGCGGGGCAGATTCCAGACGTCATCGGGAGCAAGGCTGAGCTACCATCCAATGCGGTCTAGCCGTATGTGGCGCAGGCTGCTG